AATTTTGCGAAAGTTTAAAGAAAATCGATTTTCCCGGAAAATAAGAAATGGTTAGGAAAATTTTCTTTTCGAATCTGAAGCAAGAGGCCACCAGGAATACGATGCCGTTGAAATTAGATCGATTAAAAACCCCGAACGAGCCGAATTTTGCGAAAGTTTGAAGAAAATCGATTTTCCCGGATAATAAGAAATGGTTAGGAAAATTTTCTTTTCGAATCTAAAGCAAGAGGCCACCAGGAATACGATGCCGTTGAAATGAGATCGATTGAATAATCCGATCACGCATTTTTTTCAGTTTAAAATCTATGGCTGAAATCTATGGCCAACTTCACACGCGTTGGGGTAATAATAACTTATTCATAACTTATGTGGCATGACTAGGGATTATTTCTCTCTCTCTCTCCAACAACCCAAATTGAGCCTTGGCCTCTTTTATATTAATAGTAATAGACTTTATTGCCAAACCACACATCAATTACAAAAATAAAAACAACAAATTAATCGAAAGAAAAAAAGATACAAAATAAAACTATCTAAACAAAAGAAAGCTATTATAGCATAGTGTGGCAAGCAATTCACGAGACGCAGATTCAGGAAAATAAAATTCTGTTCTTCCATCTGAACCTCGATAACAAAAAGAGTTATTAAACATTAATAATTGAAGACGTAAAAAACACAAAACAAAATAAAAAAAATTATTAAATTAGATGTAAATAATAAGCTAATTAACTAAACTTGATTCCGTGACATGCGCAACGCAACTCGATATCGGGACCCCTTGCAACAGAGAAGCACACTGACTTCTGAATAATCTTTCAAATAACCGAGACCTGAACGTCGATACACTTAACTTCCTATCAGCCATCGAAATAAGATTATAGGATTTGTAAATATGGTACGAGAAAGATCTCTCAAGCAAACCCGTGCGATGGAATCGATCATGAACGTTACTTCTAAAATTAATCTTCCTATATAAATAACTTGGAGTCTTGCTCAACATTAGTTTATGATAAACCACCAATGTCTGTTCCCCATCGACAAGCATCCAGCGCACATACATAGATTTTATAGATTTAAGCGGCCAAAAATCAATTTTTAAAAAACAGTATTTCATTAAATTAACAATTACTTGAGGTAGTACACACTTCTAGGAATAATATGACACCCCTCCCACCCCTCATCGATGCGCGATAGTTAATTGTCAGGTAGTTGGAATTCGATAGTTACTTAACGTGTACTTATCTGTTCTCGGCGTTTGCAAACTTGCAACTTTTCTAAAGATTCTATTCAGATTGTTTTTAAGTGACAATGATGGATTGCGATACTTCAGGTAAGGAACAATATTTTTCGATACTTATTTACGTAATTTTAATATTCCTTTATAAATTTTTTAACTGTCAAAAATGACACTGTTAAATATTATTTTTTTGTATTAATTAATTTTCAAAAGGTCTTTTAAAGTACTTCAGTGTTCGTCCTTGTACTAATTTATTTCGTACTCCACATTTAACATATTAAGCTATATATTGACAAAAAATTTAGCCGCGGAAAGCCGCGCTTTTTCAATTTAAGAGCAGTTTAAACTATTGAGTCGAAAGAAAGCAAAATGTCATATTTGTGCTTTTTGATATTAAATCAACTTTATTTTTATATTAGGTCAGTTTAGTGCCTCGGGTACTAAAATGGTGACTCGAAAATATTTGTTTAATCAAATACAAGCGCAAAATTTACCAACTTTAAGTGAAAAACTCGATTTTTATGAAAATCATCTTATACTTCGTTATGGAGAAACTGAAGACGGTAAAAAGTGTTTGAAGCCAAGATTTTCTTATGTAAAATCACAAATCAAACAAAGATGGTTGAAAGCCAACAAACACGAACGTGTTTTTCTTAAAAACAACCAATCTTGGTTAGAGGGAACGTTCGAAATCCCAGTAAAATCGCCTTCCCCACAAGGTCGACCTCCCAAACCTTTTGGAGAGTTAAGTGAGCGAAGCAAGCGAAGGAAAACTGAAAAAGTTCGCGCCTCTTTAGACAACGAAGTCATTGTGCACGCTGCGCAATCGGTTTTGCAAACTAGTGGACACAGAGATGCCTCGAAAGTTCTAAAAGATATCACAAACTCTCCAACACGAGCTAGTAAATATAGAAGAGCCTACTCTAAAGTGAATGACGAGATACTTCCGCTAACATCTCTGCAAGCACTTCGGATGTTCGTGGAAGCCGACCTTACTAGACGGCAATACGAAATAATAAGGGCAACAAACCCAAAACATTACCCTTGCTATGACCTTTTGTTAAAGGCGAAA